CATACACCTGTTCGCGGAGAAAGGCTTGCGAGGCGGGATTTTGATTGCATCCAAACGATACGCGAAAGCCAACAACCAATACGTGAAAGGCTACGACTCGACCAAACCGACCGAACACATCCTCTATCTCGACGCCAACAACCTGTAAGGCTGGGCAATGAGTCGGTATCTGCCAACCAGTAGGTTTGTGTGGGTGAACGCAAAATATTTCACCTCGAGGTCCATCTTAGCTCTCCCCAAAGACTTCGAGTTAGGATACATATTCGAAGTGGACTTGGAATATCCAGCGGAATTACACGAATTGCACAACAGCTATCCGCTGGCTCCCCAACGCTTGACGGTGAACCTGGACTGGATGTCTGAATATCAACGAAACTTGCTGGGAGACAACAAACAGGCTAACGTGGAAAAGCTCGTACCAAACTTGATGAACAAGTCAAAACACGTCGTTCACAATCGCAACCTGCAGCTGTACTTGTCGTTGGGGATGAAATTGAAAAAAAATCCATCACGTGCTCGGATTCCGTGTATGGAATCATACATCCGGCTGGACACTGAGCTGGGAAAAAAAGCCACCAGCTACAAGCTCATGAACAACTTGGTGTTTGTCAAAACCATGGAAAATTTGAGAAAACGCGTGAACGTGAAGCTAGTCAGATCCAGCGAGGAAGAAAAACTCAGGAAGCTCATAGCCAGCCCGGCGTTCAACCGAAGCAAAATATTCAACGACGACTTGGCAGCGCTGCACATGAAAAAAACCCACATCAGATTCAACCGACCCGTTTACGTGGGGATGTGCATCCTTGACTTATCCAAACATTTGATGTACAATATCTACTACAACAGTATGGCGACAATCGATGCGAAGTGCTGTACACGGACTGATGATGGAAATTCACACCGAGGATGTGTACGAGGACATGAAGACAAACATGCCTCTGTACGACACCAGCGACTACCCAAAAGATCACCCTTATGCACAGCCAAGTCAACAACAAAGTATTCGGCAAGATGAAAGACGAATGTGCGGGCACGCCAATCGCCGAGTACGTTGGCTTGAGACCCAAGATGTATTCCATCAAGAAAGCCGCCGTCGCCGCCGAAATCCGAAAGGCGAAAGCCGTGAAAAAACATGTGGTGAAAAATACATCAAGCACGTCATATTCAAGGAAGCCCTGTTAAAGAATAAAACGTTCAAACACTAGATGAATATGCTAAGAAGCAACGGACACAAGATATACGGACTGAGAATAAACAAGACGTCGCTGTCTCCCATAGACACGAAACGATGAATCGCCATCGACGGAGTCACCACTTACGCGTACGGACACACGCACATATTAAATAAGTAACACGCAGGCAATACATACATGATGGAGAAATTTATTACAGCCCGCGCCTCGGAACATCCTGAGAAGAAAATTTGACCTTTCAAAGCCAAATCATGTGCACCAAGCCGACCTCCTGTTTCTCCCTCACGACAGGGTAAGACGCAAAACCTACAAGTACGCCCTGACAGTCGTCGACGTCGCCAGTTGCTACAAGGAAGCCAAAACGTTGACGACCAAAGATTCAAACGAAGTCGCCAAAGCCTTAGAAATGGCATCTACAAACGCAGTCGCTTGACATGGCCTGCCGTATTGCAAATCGATCCTGGACGCGAGTTCATGGGAGCCGTGTCTCAGCTGCTGGTCAAACACAAAGTCCAAGTGAGACGAGGTATAGCGGGAGCTCACCGTAGCCAAGCCATCGTGGAGAGATTCAATCGCACCTTAGCCTGTTCTCACACCAATACTCGCAGGATTTAATGGATCCCGGAAACAGAAACACGGAATGGGTCGTACGCTTACCGCGAGTGGTGGATGCCGTCAACAACGAAGTCACCAGACTCGTGGGCAATAGACCCATCGAAGCCATCAAAATGAAATCTGTTAACAACACCAAATCGGCAGCAGCACGTCGTGATAAAATGGAGAAAACATTACCAGACCAGGTCAGTGTTAGATTCTTGTACGAGCCTGGCGTAAACGAGGGAGACAGCAGAAAACGTTACACCGATCCGATATGGTCCATGAAAACGTACAACGTCAACCTGGTCGACATCAAAGACGGCGAACCGAACTTGTACTTCTTGATAGACGGGGCCTCAGCAAAACTGCAGTCAAGTGGCTGCTTTTCTTTTTTGAAAATATTTGAAAATACCTTTTACTGCTTAGTCATGACAGCAGTGATAGAGCAGTTTTCATAATAATGATCCTTTGGCTCTCAAATTTAATATCATCATGTGTTCCCTCATATTCCCTTAACTCATTAAGCCCGAGAGCCACCTCACTACTCAACACCTGGAACCCCTTGCTGATTGCCCACTCGCTGTACCGAGACTAATTAGTGCTAATCACACCTGATTTCCCTGGCAGGTTTCGGGGATGACAGGAAACTGTCTAGTCGTACAAACAAGTCCTGATTGTTTAATTGTGTCGTAAAAATATATGTTGAAAGAAAGCAGGTGTGAATACATATCGTGTATTGCAAAGTTTTATGTAATTTGATTGCAAGTTTCTCTTGTAGACCCTTGGCGGCTTGTACATTTATATTTTATCACAATATGCATGTATTCTTTGTATGTAAGAGATGAGACGCACATAAACAAATTCTTTCTCTCATATCAGTGTGTGAGGTTTACATTTACAAAACATCTGTGACAATGACATACTGTAAAGAAGAATTTACTTACATACTTTATAAGCTTCGATGAAAATAGCATTTTTGCTGATACATTTCTAGTGTATACGAATTACTTTAATGAAAGTACTATTACGCTAGTCTGTGACTAACATAGAGCACATTCATAGCTTGGCACTTTGTTTCATCTAGATTTAATGCAGAAAACATACGTGACCATACAAACATACATATAAAAAATGTATACTACATATTCCTTGCATAGACATAAAACAAAGAGTCATTGATAGGGCTGCCATCAAATTTCGAATAGAACGCTCGTATCTCAACTGTTCAATATAGTGGCTGGTCATATGTTATCTGTGACCAATCGTATCATGAGATACCTGTCACAGAGGAAAGGACAGGTGATGGGGCGTAGGCGAAATTTCTGAAGAGCACGTTTGGTCACTCAACAGCTTGGATAGAGATTGATTGTTGGCTATATCGTTGACCAGTCGATATGCTGGGTTTCGGCTTTATCAACTCAAGCTATCATGTAACAGTTTGTGTATTGTAAACATACACACTGGTAACAATGTATGAAATATACACATAAGACAAATAGGAGTAGATAGACACTTGAGCGAGTTTATTTGACCTCATGTTAGTGTTTTTCAATACGTAAACAAAGCGATTGAAAACCAACCATTGAGTAGAGATAGTATTTATTTTCATATATACTCATGTCAATAATGGTTGTCACCCCCCCCCACACACACACACACACACACACCTCACACCCCACCCCCTCTCCAATTTAAAAAATCGAAGGGGGTGACAACCATTTTTGGCATGAGTATACATTTTACACACATAACTAGTAAATAAAACATAATGGTTTGCTGTACATGTAAATATAATCTTCACCTTGTTACGAATGAATATCCAAACTAAAGTACACGTATTACAGAATTCACGAAATGACAGTATACTGAATTATTATAGTGTATAAACTTGCAGTTCAACACACACACACACACACACACACACACACACACACACACACACACACACACACACACACACACACACACACACACACACACACACACACACCAATATTTATGAAGGTGGGCCTGCCTATATTTATACTGAATGCAAACGAGGTTCATAAGATTACAGATGTGCATGCATGCATAAACATTACAGAGAGGGGCGTGACTACATAAAGCAAGTTGTCCAATGATATAACAGCGCATCTGTTTGTTTTACACTTGTCACGGGACAAACCTTTCAACAAGGACGTAACTATGTATATGCATTCTACCGGAGGCTGTTATTTCAAGGTCGAAAGAGGTGTTCAATTATCTCATTACTGTGATCTGATTGAATGATTATACGTATGTGTATCGATACCATAACTGATATACTATCCAGCTTTGATTGACGATGGATCAATAGAGACTGAGTTCATTGATACACGTGATAATTACACCGGATTTGATAATTACAGAGATCAAATGCAAATGTTTTACACAATGCTCATGTAAATTGCATAGAAAACTGACAATTCAAATCAACATGAAACTGTCAACAGCTTGAACAAAAATGCTTGAAATACCTTTGTATGGTTTACATGTAATAACTTATGATATTACTTCTGTTTAGGTGTGAGAATTTTTTGAATTACCAACTTACTGTGTTTTGTTAAAAACGTAGTAAAAGATTTCATTGTTGTAATAACACTGACATGTATATATATTCGATGCAAAGGCGTGTCCTTGAAATTTCATATATTGTTTCACATTTATTAGGAAGTTGAAGAAAATATAATCTTCAGTAACCTCTAAACCATTACATCTAATTCAATCAATGTGCATACGAAGTATTTTAGTATCCATTCCCAATGAAGAGTACCAGACACTTACCTCTGTAAAACATCATAATCCCCTTTCTCGACGACATGTGTTCATTTGCCAAACGTTGTACAAGCCTATGATAATGATTAGCAATTGCTATCAAAACACTTTAAATACTTCTTCTGATTGACACTAAAAGTTGCATCTCTCGTAAGAAAAGCTAATATTTGCTCAGTACTACTAAATTGGTTGAAATAATAGGTACAGTGCGATTTGTAAAAGTACGACAGACATTTGCGTCTCTCGCTGAATAAGAGGTGCTTTCTGTTGACGAATATATGTGGCTCTCGCTGTGAGAAACTGCTAATTACCTACCCCATAAACACGTCACTCGCTGTGAGGAGCTGATTATTTTGCCCCATATATGCGTCTCTCGGCCTTAATGAGTTCAGTGAGGCCCTGTTTCTCTTGTTTCAGGGTACACCAAAACCTGAGACGTTCAATTCAGACAGGAGGTATGTATAATCAAACGTCTTATTGCATAAAGAAAATGTTTCAGTCTCACATAAGGTTCTAATCATAATTTACAACCAGACCCTGGTTGAAAATAGGTAGTGAAGCTGTTGATTCATCAAGTGTTGAGTGGAACTGGTACATTTTATGTTAAAAGGTGAAGAAATTGGCAGAATTCTCAAGTTAATCTTTTCTCAGAAATACAAAGATATGTTGATTTTGATCAGGTATTCTTTGAGCTGTACAGAATACTTTTTGTGTTGAGTCTTCAGGACCCTTAAAGGCTCTAAATACATTTCTTCCTTCCCATTCAGCACTAAGAATTGCTTGGACTGTTTGAAGTTAATGTCCCCTGAGGATTCCCCATTTCCCAATTTGAGGAATGTCAACCCATATCAACGACAGCTTTTGAAAAGTATGCCCTAGTCATAAACAAAGGCCAACAATGGAGAATGACGAACAAGCTGTGATCTACTGATGTACTACTATTAGATGAGACACAACCTGACAAATGATCCCAATTTGCATATATGGGAATGCCCTCCAGAACATTCCATTTGAAAAATGAGGGAAACACGTTGGCGTCTAAAACTTGAAAAGTTCAATTTCCTCATGCGTGTCTTGTTTTGATTGTTATTATATATCATACTAAGTATGTGTACAGCTAAGATCCTTAGAAACTGAACCAAGACAAATAGAACTTTATTTACAAGACACACCACACAAGTGCTAGAGAAAAGAATATTTTATGTTTACAAACGGATGTATAAGCAGCATATATGATGGTGCATCCTCTCCACAAAGGGGTCAAATACAGCATAGATCCATTCTGGAATTTACTGATTTAGGCGTACTTCGGTCCGTAGTCGTCACTTTCTGAATCGGTCTCAGTGTCTGAATCATTTGCCAGTCCTGCTTCGATACGATTTGTCAATTTCTTTTTCTACTGCAATTTCCCGTTGCCAGTAGCCATCTTCAATGGTTTTAACATGTTTACAACATTCGGACCATTCCTTGAAACCGATTGCAGACATTCTCTCCTTTTTATGGCAACTCTTAGCACAGTTTTTGTGAACTGCAAGTTTTGTTTAACAACAAATTTTTTTACATTGGCCCAAATCAACTCAATTGGGTTCAATTCTGCGTGGTAAGGAGGAAGACATAGTACATCATCGCCATGTTGTTTCAACATAGTGTCTACTCTATAGACAGGGCCCAATTTGTTGGATTTTGCCAGACACATCAGTTTGGCTTTGAGCATTTTATCGTCAAATGCAATATTGTGCCTTTGTAACCAAGCTTTGATATCATCTTTTATGTTAGCCGTTGTTGTACATTTGTCCACTTGCTAGCTGTGGTATGGCGCATTAGCCATAACAATGACGGAGTGGGGTGGAATGTGTGGGATCAATTTTTCCTGCAGGCATTTGGAAAAATTATCAAAATTCAGAACTCTGCTTTGGAACCTCATGGACAATGAATGTTTGCAACCCCTATGCCCAGTAAGAGCTCTTAAGTGGTATCATGACAAGACATATAGGCTTTTCTCAGAGGACATCGTAGGCTAGAGTTATCATGCCAAGATCAGTCTGACGTAGATGTAACTAAAAGTACAGTGGCAGCATGGATCAAGAAAACTTAGGTTTCTCCTGATTCATCTTCAAGGGCATCCACTATCAGTGGTGTGTCCTTCTATTTGGAATTTCCATGTCCCCATGGTTATTCACATGGTCACAAAGCGAATTTCTCGGTTTCTCCACCACAAAGTGATTGTATTCGGGGCCTACATTGATACTGCCCTCAGGTGCAGAGAGATCAGCGGATCCTGCTTCTCCACATGCAGTTCGCCATCAGGCTACTTTGGCAATTAGGATGGCTTGTCAATCTAAAAAAATTGGAACTGGTTCCAACTCACCGTCTCCAGTTCATCGGGGCAGTGTTCGACACCAATCTCGGCAAGCTGTTTGTTCCTAGGGAATGGTTTCTCAAGATTCAATGTCAGGTTCCCCTAGAGCTGACGCAACCCAGAACTCTCCATTAGTAGCATGAGCTTCTTGGTCTGCTGCCGTCAGCCAAAGTGCTCACTCTTAGAGGACAGCTTCAACTTCAGACGTTACAACAGTTTCTTTGTCTGCACATCAGAGTCTGCGATCCATAGTTTTTGCCCAGTCCATCTTCTCTGCCTAGCCTTTCTATGGGGAGAGAAATTTTAGGGGGCTCACCAAGCCTATGTCGGATTCAGCTAATCATGTGTTAGAGGGACATAATACTATCTCTAACACTTGAGGTAAAGGCCCACCCATCTTCCCCTTGGAATCCCACATTATATTATGAAGTTACCACACGGTTATTAAGGGAGACTTCTTCAGATAGTGTTTGGGAAGACCACTAGAAAGTAAGACAACACTCATGGATAAAACCCCCAACATTTTCAAGTCTTAGAAGTAGTATTCTAAGAGTTATTGTCATTGTTGACAAAACTTCAAAATAGGAATTTATGGCCCTGATGTAATACATGAAGTCTTCTTACCATTATAACTATTACCAAGCTGACTATTGTTTCGTTTTTAGTTTCAATAAATCTTACCAAATATGGTCCATGATGTCAGCTGATATTGCATGAGGTATGCCTAAGGTTGCTTTTTTTACCTTCCTATATACTTTCAGAGATGGTCAGAATGGAGGAGGAAAAGGAGTGCCTCAGCCACGAACATACTCGCTTTTTAGTAGTTCTCCGTGGGAAGTACCATCTTTGGCTGGTGGAGAACCTCGTAGTGAGTACACTATATTTGCAAACATTAAGTGTTGTAATTCATGAAATACACTTTTGACTTTTTCCCTTAAATGCTTCATTTTACATTTTCCTGCAGGATAATGTTTTTCGGAATACATGTTCATAATTGTTCAGTATTGACATTTTGTCACTATAATGTCACGTGTACTTGTTGAAGACACCTTTCCTTGTACAAGGCATTGTATGTAATTTTACTGTTGTTAGACCCCTCGGGTTTGTGATGGACAATGACTGGCTGTTGTGTGCTGAAGTGTGAAAATACAACAAATTGTAGTTTTTATTTACATTCACTCTTTCATATTCCTCGGGTAGAAGATCAGTACTCACTCACAACTGATACATCAAACACATGAATGCATTTACTCATTTTTAAACTTATCCTATATCACGACTTGCACCTCTCTCTCTTCATTCGACCATGAGTGGAAACGAATTAAACTTTGCTCCAGGCCTACCTTGTCCCTGTCCCCGTGCTGTGCATGCCTTCCTGCCTTAGCCATGCTCACTAGTCCGTGACAGCACGTGATCACCTTACATACTCATTCTCTTTCTTGTCGCTCAACAGAGTGGACGTGAGACTTTTTTCATCTGAGAATTGCTCAACATGGATAAGCCTGTTCAGGCCAGAAAACAAAAGTTTTACGCTCAGTGTAGTAAAGTATTTTCAGCTTGGGACCTACACATATCGTGTGTTGATTGTGTGGGTTGTTGTGATTGGGACAAACGTTGTCCTAAGTGTTCAGGACTGTCTAAGGAGGATTTTAAAGCTTACAAACGTGCTTGTGCCAGACGTTTGGCAGATAGGGCCAGGAATGCTTCTGCGGGATCTGGTCCATCTCCCGCTAAAAACAATGTTTAGATCGCCCCACCCTACTTGCTCGCCGTTCTAAATCTCCGGTCTCTCCTAACGAAGATTTTATGGATGCTTCGTCTGATTCCTATTTGTCTGAGAATGTTAAAAGGCGTTTTGGGACGCTTCCCTCACCTAGCTCAAGTGCTCATGGGCATGCAAAGGTGGTAATGACTGATATTTCCTCTACACAAGACCTGCGATCTACTTTATCTCGTAGATCTGTTTCTTTGTACCGTTCAAAGTCCTCGAAAACTACTAAATCCAAGCATTCATCATCGAAGCGTGGAATGGCGCGGTTGGAACATAACCGTTCTCCTCCTCGTACGGTTTCATCCCACCGAAACAATTCACCCACACGAGTTGAGTCACCATCTGGTTTGGAGGTGCGAATTCATTCTTCTACTGCTGGGAAGTGTGGTTCTAGATCTCGTTCACGCTCGAGCTCTCGTCGTCCTTTCAATGTACCAGTCCGAACCAATTCACCACCTCGATTTATTTCACCAATCAGAATTGGGTCTAATGCCAGTGTTGGTTCACTAGAACGGAACCATTCACCTAGCCGTGTCATTGCCAAGGGTCGAACGAGTTCACTCAGCCGAGCCGGCTCACCAGACCGAACTGATTCACGTAATCGAATGGATTCACCAGGACGAACCGGATCACAGTCCCGACTCAATTCACCTCAACATATGTTTCAGTTCGACTCACCATCTCATAGTCGAATCAATTCACCACTGCATTCACCTAGCCGTACGGTGTCTTTTCGTCAGAGTGATTCTCGTAGTCGATCTCATTCACCTCAGGTGAATCAGGCTATCCTGTCTAGTCAGTCTAGAGCTAGTGAGCACTTGCGGTCAGCGCCTTTACCTGATAGTTCCCCTCATCAACATTGTTCTGTGCGGGTGGTTTCACCTGCTAGGTTGCATTATGGTTCAGTGGATCGGTGTTCACCTTCACGCCATGCCACTTCTACTTTGCCTCGGTCACAGGTTATTGCTGAGTCTTGGAATAGTGCGCTTGATTCCTCTCCAGCGCCGGATTTAGACACCATGCTTCGTGCTGTTGACCCTAAGTAGCGTAATTTTGCGCACACTGTAAACAATATTTACTTCCTCGGATCCCCACTCGTCATGTGTGGGTTGTATTGACCTGTGTTCCTGGAGCAAATGTTGTCGGGAATGTGCTCCCTTATCAAGGACGTTTTTAGAGCATGTAGACATGCTTGCTCTCGTTGGCTGGCAGACAGAGCTCGTTACACTTCAACAGTTGATCACCCGACAAACCCCGCTTTTAACGACCAGTATTAACTGCATGTCGTCCGGAGATTCCCATGTTGGACAGTGATGATTTTAATTTTTATTGGTGCATCATCAGATGTCTACTCGTCTTTCCGCCTCATCAAACCGCTCTGTGTTGCCAACTGACTCACACAGCCGATCTACATCGTCAAATCACCGAACCGATTCACCACACCGAATCAGTTCGCCATACTGAATAGATTCACCAGACTGAACCGTTTCTTATCGCCGAAACGGTTCACATCATCGATTCAATACACAGCACCATAACGGCTCTCTTCACCGAAACGATTCACCTCGTTGAACCAATTCACCTCGACAGGAACATTTCACCTCTCCTCACAGGTTCATCTGATCGTTTTAGATCTCTCCATCAGCTGAGATCATTTAAACGTTTCGGATTACCGAACCGATCAAGATCACAGTCATGATCCAGATGACAATGCCGATCCAGATCACGGACTGATTCAGATCACATCAACATTCTGGCTCACCACCCTGAACCGATTTACCAGCCCGACTCGTACCGTTTCACCAGGCCGAACTGCTTCCTATCGCCGAACCAGTTCACCTGGCCGTTCAAGATCACTGAATTGTCAGCATTCATCGAACTGTCAGCATAGGTCAACCACCTACAGCTACCTAGAGCAGATGTTCTATTGATTTCATTCAGCATGAAGGATCGGGACTTGTCAACACTGGTTTTCCACATCCTCAACAAGGTTCGTGAACTTGCATCTAGATAGGGCCAAATTTGTCGAACTCTGCTAGTTTTCAACACGATCCTAGTTTTCAGGGCATCTGTGAGGCGCTGAATTCCTCTTTACGAAGTGGCAAGCTTTATCCGGTTTACCCTACGGCTTGCGAGGCGCTTCATGTTTTTAGTCACATAACTTATCCCACCTTGTACCCCTTTTCGGATGGTTGAACAGAGGTAGTAGCTATGTGCTTCACCATGCCAAATCGATTCACATTTGATGTCAGTAGCGCAGTCATCTAGACATATCACACTCGGCACTTGACGGTCTGATGATCCCAGTTCTCAGGAGTCCTCCGTGACCGGGGCTCATCTCATTCCAGATTTAATCTACCATCCGATCTTCCTCTTTGATGAATGATTCGGTTCAACGAATCTACACTTCGCTGTAGATGTCAGTTCTACAACCACCCGATAGGGCATTACTAGATAAGCTTGCTAGCCAGGAATACTTTATGATGCTTCACTGAGTCTTATTACTGCAGATTACTGGTAACAGCGTGTTTTATCGCTGGGTGAATTTTTGCAGATGGTTCGTCATCTTCAGCTCCCTGTGTTTTACATGATAAGCAAGTTTCTGGACAGATAACAGATGGGTCAAGTTTTTGCGCATGGTACCAGCAGTGATGTTTTGTCAAATAGCCAGCATAGCTCAGCCCGGAATTTATGGGTTGCAACTCGCCTGGTTAACCGAAGACCTTGCTGTCCATTTTTTTTGTCACTCGTGTGCAACGTTTGCAAATGGCGGACTACTGTTTGTTTACCGGAATTTTGATGATTAGAGTGACTATGAAGTGCCCTGGCAGACTTGTCTTGGTCCCACAAATCCGATATCAAGTCCAGCCTTTAAATGCTTTTAACAATGATAGGTGCCATTCCCGGTAAGAGTGATTGTGTCGGGATTTCAACAGCCAGTCTAGAGAGACTGCTTGTCGAGGTTGACGGACAGAAACACCCGTGAACGGTTTGACTTTTGCTGGGCTTACTCGGTTTTCTACACTAGCTCAAGCACTGAGTTCAGAGGTCACTGCAGTTATGCGTGGACTGTCACCAGGGAGCGATCTACTACCTGTCTCACTCCACTTGGCGAACCATCATTTTGTTCAGCCAACTGAAACGTTCCTGAGGTCGCCGATCGTACGAATTTCTTCAATTCGTTTACAATGTGAACGTTCCTGTAGATTGACTGACAATCTCCATGCGCCGTACATACTACATTCAGCACTCCATTAGAACTGACAAAGTAGCTCGACTTATTGAACGTTCTTATCTCAGGAGATATCTCTTTGTCAGAGGCAAGAGTTGTTAGACCTCTCTTTTCCCTCGACCAGCGAGACGCCTACCTTCACATCCCGATACATCCAGACTATCGGAAGCATCTTCGATTTACTTTCAAGGGGCGTCATTGATACCAGTGGAGGCTCCTGCTGTTTGGCATATGTACGGCCCCGTGGCTTTTTACTCAGATAACCAATCCGATAACAAGCTACCTGCATTATCTAGGCGTGACATTCGAGAAATATATCGACGACTGTGTTCAAGCCCAGCAGGATCCAGTCGTCCTTCCTCTCCACAGGCAGTTCATCATCAAGTTGCTCGCGCAATTAGGATGGCTGCTGAATTTGGATAAATCGGAGGTAAAACCGACCCAGTGATTTTTTTTTATTGGGACAATATTCTACACGACAGGTCATGATGTTTGTGCTCCAGGAGAGGTGGGACAAGATTCAGTCCAACGCACCACTAGTGCTGGTCCAATCCACAACTTTTCGCCAGTGGCAGAAGTTACTAGGGTGGTGGACGTCGGCACAAGCGCTGACTTACAGGGGCCAGCTGCAGCTTCGCCCTCTCCAGATGTTTCTGTGCCCATACATCCGGGACGACAACCCCAGGGAGTTGATTCGTCTTCCCGCACAACTACATTCAGTGTTTCGTTGGTGGCTCAACAAGTGGAATGTTTGTGTTGGAGTCTCTATGGTGCCCTTCATACCGACTCAACACCTGTTCGTCGACACATCTTTCAAGCTGGGGCGTTCACTTTCTCCATCAAGTGGCCTAGCAGTGGTCATCAG